GATATCCATATGTAAAAGAATAATACTAGATCCATACCCCTTACTTTGTACCCCCCCAAAAAAAGAAAAAAAAATAGAATATCTTAATGTAAGATTGAAACTTTGAAATTGTTAGAGGGCAAGGTAAGGAAAGTACTTAAAGATACTGGCAAAGGGGGCTGGAGAGATGACTCAGTGGTTAAGAGCATTGCCTGCTCTTCCAAAGGTCCTGAGTTCAATTCCCAGCAACCACATGGTGGCTCATAGCCATCAATAATAAGGTCTGGTGCCTTCTTCTGGCCTGCAGGCATACACACAGATAGAATATTGTATACATAACAAATAAATATTTAAAAAAAAAAGATACTGGCAAAGGCAGGGACTTTCTGAAGCAGCTCAGCAGGAGCTGGCAAATGGGACTGATGAAATTAAAAGGCTTCTATACAAGTGAAGAGATGCTTACAGTGGGAGAAAATCTTTGCTGCTTTGTAGCTTACAGAAGTATTGAGACTCCATAAAGAACTCAAAAGACCACCAAACCAAGGAACCAAACAATCCACTCAGTAAATGGGCTAAGGGAATGAACAGGCAAGTGTGATGAAACACAAATTGTCAATAAATCAAAAAAAAAAAAAAAAAACCAATCAGCATTCTTCCATTAGAATTAAAAATTAACCGGGCGGTGGTGGCGCACGCCTTTAATCCCAGCACTTGGGAGGCAGAGGCAGGCGGATTTCTGGGAGTTCGAGGTCTGCCTGGTCTACAAGAGCTAGTTCCAGGACAGGCACCAAAGCTACAGAGAAACCCTGTCTCGAAAAAACAAAAAAAAATAAAATAAAATAGAATTAAAAATTAAAACAATGCAATTTCATCTCACCCCCAGTCTGAGAGGCTATCATTAAGAAAGCAAACGCCAACAAATGGTAACCAGGAGGGTGTGGGAAGGCAGCTCCTATATGTTGCTGGTAGGAATGTAAATCAGCCTAACCTGTATGGAAATCAGTATAGAGGTTCCTAAATAATACTAATAAAATAGAAACAGAACTACTTTATGGATCAGCTATGCCACTCCTGGGAATATATCCAAAGAACCCTAAATCAACATAAAATGACTTATTGTTTGTTTCAAGCTTCCTTTTCTTTCTTTCTTTCTTTCTTTCTTTCTTTCTTTTTTTTTTTTTTTTAAATGTCTAGCTATGAAATCCAGGTTAGTGTCAAACTCAAGGTTCTCCTCAGCTTCCTTAGGCCAGGACTGTTGATTGAGGTTTCTGTCCTGCAGCCATTCAGTCCCAAAGAAACACACAGAGGTCTATCTTAATCATAAACTGGTTGGCCTATTAGCTCAAGCTTCTTATCAACTCTTACATCCTACATTAACCCATAATTCTTGTCTGTGTTAGCCATGTGGATTGGTACCTTTTATCAGCGAGGCATTCTCATCTTGCTTCCTCTGCAACTGGATGAGGACTGCAGACTAAGTTTTTCCTCTTCCCAAAATTCTCCTATTCTCACTGCCCCTCCTGTACTTCCTGCCTGGCTATTGGCCAAATTAGCATTTTATCAATACAAGACCATTTCTGTCCCACAGCACAGGATTGCAGACATGTGCCACCATACTTGGCTAAAGCTTTTTGTGGTATCAGGTATCAAACTCAAAGTAAAATGCATTTGCTCTACCAGGGAGGTACATCTTTACACTTGCCACCCCCATTCCTGATAGTCACGGGTGAGCAACTTTACTCCTTCAAATCATTCTATCCTGGGCTTCTGTCCTAAAACACTTAACAGGCCATGGACAGGAAGCCCTGAAATGTTGAATCAAAATCAATCTTTCAATCTTAAACTGTTTCTCTCAGGTATTTAACTAGCACAGAACTCAGTGTAGGGTAAAGCTTAAGGAACCCTCCAGGATGTAGTTTACAACTAGAGAAACACACCTCAATGGAGCAAGATCATGAGCTGTAGTGGACTTAACATTGTGCCCAATTTCAACAGTTTTACCAAGTCCCTTCAAAAACTAAGAAGGCGGAACAAAGAATGAGAGGAATATTTAGCATGAAGGATCTTGGATTACCTCCTTAGTCTCACACCTGGGTTGGCAAGTTCCTAGTAATGTTGTAGATAACCTCTTTCCTGCCATTGCTTCTCAGGACAGAAATGGAATCTTCAGTCATCCTGACTTTTAATTTGCCTGGAAATTTTCAAGATTCCTCAAGTTCTTTACTGATACCTATTTATTTTATCCCACTTTTAAATCATGTGGTAAAGCAAGTTACTAAAACAGGTCTCAATTACCCTACTTATAATTTTCTACATATTATTTGAAAATAATAAAACTACATTATCTGAGCTATCACTTCACTAGTTAAAAGTGGCAATCTCTCCCTTTGGCAATATTTTGAGAATGCATATACTTTTTTTTAGAGTGATATACTGTTACCATCTTGGTTTATGGACCAAAAAGTTAAAGAGTACATTTTCCAAAAAAAAAAAAAAAAAAAAACATGAAAGTGGTGACTTTCAAGTATTTTGTACTTAAACTATTGTTTTAAACATAAAACTTCACATTTTGTTTATGGGCTTTCAATATTACTCATAAAGTGAAATAAAAAGTCAATAAGGAAAGTTCTACAAAACCAAAAGCACAGTATTATCTTTACTGGGTAGTTTTCCTTTATTTGAACCTATAGTTTCAACGTGGTAAGCTAACCACGGCTTGTAAATGCATTATACTGAATGCTGGGTGCATATTAATCCTTTCAGGCCACGGGGGAGCTATTGAACAAATTACTGCTCTACATACTGACCACTGTCTACTGGCTCAGAAGGAATACTCTGCCTATTTGAGGTAAAACATTATCTACTCATTCTCCAAAGGCTCATTATTTGTTGTTTATTTAGACTAGTGGAGAATGAAAAGGCTAAATGAGGAGGGAAAAGTTTCCCATATTTTAACACTGACAAACCTGAGCTACTTAAAAAAAAAATCTGGGTTTCTACAGAGCAAGCCAAATAAAACAGGATGACTTCCTTAAATTGTACTGTTTAAATTGCAATATAAAAATAAAAAAGGCATTTCACCGAGAAGAACAACAACTTGAGTTTTACTATCTCTCTACATTTTAACAGATAACAATAAATCTATTACATTAATCTTTTCCAACTACAAGCTGTTATCACATTGCCTATTCCTGGTTTAAAGCAATCCAATCCACTGGGCAGCTTTTAATTTTGATTAAACATAGTAGCATATAATTAATGTGCTGATGCATAAATCAGGAAGCCTCTGAAGAGGGCCCCAAAATACCTTTGGATGCTCTTCTGGGAACTTCAACAGCCTATAGAGCAAGTTATCAGACAGTCCCATTTCCACACTAGTAATTCTTTCTATCAAGGGTATCCTCGACTGTGTAGGCAAGGAAGCTTTAATTGAAACCCCAACCTAGAATATCAAGCAGACACAGAAGAAGAAACTGGAAGAGAGGTCCAGGGTCTCCCCAGAAAGATAAGACAGATGCTGAAGTTATTTGAGGTATCTATCAGCGTTCATCTGGACCGATTTCTGGCAAGAGCTAGTGTTTCAAAAATACATTCATATTTGGCTATCACAGACAAATTTCTATTACTCATAAAACAGAACTAAAGCTCAGATTTCTGTAGAATTTCCTCTTCTGGCTTAAAAAAAAAATCTAGACTTGAATGACAACATTCAGTACTTGCAGCTGCCACTAAACTGTTCACTGAAAAAATTAAAAAGCAACTTGCCAAAGGGAGATACATATAGTCAGCTTTTCTTTCTCTTCATTTGTCATCTAATATTTTATAACATATTCAAGATCAATAAAGCCGCCTCTCTTAAATATAGCTTAAAGTAAACGTTGAATAAAATACAAATACTTGAAAGATTCTCCATGAACTGAATAAATAAACCATCTGTGACTCAGGCTCCCCTAGCGTGTTTCTGGGTTGACCCATTTCTACAGTCACCATGGTTCGCAGGATCTCACTTCTAAGGGGCAGCAGTAGCGGCTCTGTGCCAGCGCATAGTTGAATCCAACAGGGTAAAAGGCTGAGGCAAACAGTACCTACAAAAGGCCACGGGGCTTTATTTAAAATGATCCCCCAGTCCCCGCCTCTAAACCAGAACTTCAATACCAGCCTTAACCAGAAGCAGTCTTTTCTCCAAGAGAGGAACGAGTCGGGTCTGCAGGGGAGAAAAGAGGGCAGGCACAGATTGAGAAAGCGGTCAAGCGTTAAAAGAACTTGGTACATTTGGCTTTGGGGGTCAGTCGCCAGGTCTGCAGTCAGGATAAGGTCGGGGCCGCGGGAACTCAGTCCGCCCGTCGGCTCGGCTCTAGAAAGCTCTACCGACTAGCTCAGAGGCCGCAAAGCCGAATGTCCTCGGGCGTCGCGGCCGGGACCTGGATCCCCCCAGGCGCCCTTCGCGGGGCCTAGGAGGCAGAACTTTGCGCAACCCGGAGAGCGCCAAGGGCGCATCCCTCTCCCACTCGGCACGCCGGCCTTGCGGGTTTCGTCTCCACAGGGGCTGAGCGGCGGCTGGGGGTTGGGGCGGGGGGGGGGGATGACGAGAAAGTACTAGAAGGATGCCGAGGCGCAAGCGGCACTTTTTGCATCCCGCTCGCCCCTGCGGCCCAAGACGCCGCCGCCACAAAGGGAAGGATGGGCCTGGCGCCCCTGCTGGGCTCCCACCCGGAGCCGCTCGCCGCTCGCCGCGGCGGGGTGAGGCCGGCCGGCGGGGGCGCGCGGCAGGTGACAGCCGAGACGCGGGTCCCCGGGCCCGAGTCGCAGTCTCCCCGCCCACCTCGGGCCTCGCCCACCCCGCGCGCTCCCCGAGAGCCGGGAGCCCGGCACCTCACAATGGTCTCGGGACGCGACGACCGCCGAGCGGAGCCTCCGGGCGAGGGGCTCCCGTTCCCCCCACCCCGGGCGAGCCGGGGCCGGAGCCGAGGTGCGCGCGGTCCCCGCCCTGCCGCCCGTCGCGCCCGCGCGCCCCCTCCTACCCTTTGGCGTGTTCCGTCTCCTCCTCATTGTCTCCGTCTATCCCGCACGTGTCCTGGTCGTCCAGCTCGAGGCTCTGCTGGCTGGCCGCAGACTCGCTGTCCTCCGCCATCGCGGCGGCTCCGAGCGGCTGGGGAGGCGGCGCTCCGAGCGGCAAACGAGGCGCGACAGGGCGGGCGCGGCCGCGGCTCCCTCTAGTGCCGCCCACCCTCGGGCTCCCGAGTGTGGAGCCCGCGGCCACGCCCACCCCGCAGGTCACGCCCACCGCGGCCGGCCCGGCCCCGCCCGCTCGCTTGCGGCTCCCGCCCGTCACCGCCGTCCGGCCCGCCTCAGTCGGCGTGGGCCCCGCCCACGTGTCGAGTCCCCCTTCAGCCGCTCGCCCGCCTCTCCCGTCCGCTCCCGCCCACCTCGGCAGCCATAGCCCCGCCCAGCTCGCCTGCCCACTTCCGCCTGTTTCAGCGGGTGAGGCGCCGCGGGTCTCGCGTTCGCGCTTCCGCCTCAGCCGCCGAGGCCCCGCCCATCCCGCTAGCCCGCTTCGGCGGCTTTCGGCCGGCCGACACTGCCCCGCCCACCTCGCTGGCGGGCTCGGGCCCATTCAGCCGGCGCGGCCCCGCCCACCTCGGCCGTGGTGAGGGCTCGACCAGGCCTGCCCTTTCCTCCTCAGTCTCGTGCCCTGAGGTGTGAGCGTGGGGGCGGGGCACGACTGGCGAGCCGAGCCCGAGGCCGCAGGGGTGGGGCGTGGCCTGCCCCGGGCTGCGTTCGTAGTTTGGCGCCTGGACTTAGGATGTCTAGGTCACCCGGTGCTGGATTTCTGTGCTGGACGTCAGCGTTTGCGAGGACTGGTTACGCGATCCTCTACGTCCATGTGTTCCTCAGCTGCCGGGATTTTTTTCACTCAGGCCTGCGATTTCCTGACGCTCTCCCTGCCTTCTCTCCCACACGTACTTGAAAATTTTCCATTCGATGTTTCCATATCTAATGCTTATCAAGACAAAGTCAGAGTGCTCCAACCTCCCCACTTCCCTGTTGCAAGCTACCTCAGCCCTAAACAGAAAATTACCACAGCGGTTCTTATTTGATCTAGATAGGTTCCGCTGAGAACAGAACGTTTTGACTTCCAAATCGGGGGTATTGGGTAGTTTCTGGCCGGTCGTCTGGCCTTCTACATGAAGGTCGTGACCTAGACCACCAAGCAAACGGGTCTAATTGTTGAAATCCTCCTCTCATCAGGAAACAGGCCAGGAAGGAAGCCAAGCTTGGTGGCCCAAGCCTGGTAAAAGGATTAGGAGTTCTTGGGACCAGCGTCCACCACTTACACAGGTCAAGGACATCTTGGGCTACAAGAGACTTGTCTGGGGAAAAAAAATAAAAGGACTGGGGATAGAGGAAGGAGACTCTCCCTTGTGTACCAGATAAGATGCAGGTGAAAGTCACTGCTGGTAAATGCTTCCCACAGCAACACTTTGCTCTCCAGAGATGGGAAAAATTAAAAGATCCTGCCAGACCACCGGAAGTCTGTGAGGCAGTCTTATGCTGGCAATTGCTGAGAAAGTTACCAAAACTCTATGAAGAGGGAAAAATCCTTACAAGCCACCCGAGAATTTTAACGCAATGAGGGGAACCCGCCCCCATCACTCTCTCTCACACACACACACACACACACACACACACACACTCACGAGAATATGGTTAAAATGCTATGAGCTAGAATGCCCGAGAGACAAAAATTGCAGAGCAACTTCAAAGTCCAACATTTGTTTGATGTTCTTGGAAAAAGTATAAATGGGACCCAAACATAGAGAAAATGCAATTTTGCCCTTAACAGTTGCAACCATTTCTGAGACGGTCAGTGAGGCCAGAAGATTCAGACTTGAGGGTGAAGGCAGACACAGATGAGTGAGGTTCCTGCCCTCATTTCTATGAACATAAGCAGCTGAATAACCTGGCAACAGAGACCTAGCCAGGAGGGATCCTATGAGAGCAGCTGTTTTAACCTGTCCAGGGGTCTGTGACAGGAGAATGGACTGGGAGTCAACATCAGGATTATCATGTGAAGGAAACCAGTAGGCAGACAGCCTGGGAGCCTTTCTTCCCCTTGGCTCACAGAGCATGGGACTGAAAACCACAGAGAGAGCTGACCTGAGTTAGTGGGAGCTCACTGACTCTGGACTGGCAGCTGTGAAACCTGCATCGGACCAAACTAGGCCCTCTGAATGTGGGTGTCAGTTATGTGGCTTGATCTGTTGGGGCAGGACTGGCAGTGGACCAGGACTTTTCCTGGGTGCATGAACTGGCTTTTGGGGGCCCATTCCCTATGATGGGATACCTTGCTCAGCCTTGGGGGGTGGGGGGCCTTGGTCCTGCCTCAACTCGGTATGCCATTCTTTGTTGACTCCCCCAAGGGAGTTCTTACCCCACCTGAGGAATGGATGGAGGGTGTGGGATGAGGGAGATGGGGGAGGTGGGAGAAGAAGAGGGAGGGATAACTGGGCCTGGCATGTAAAATAAAAAGCAAAATTTTAAATTAAAAAGGAAAAGGAAAGAAAGAAAAACATATTGTATTCAAATATGTGCGAGGTTGGTGCTCTGTAAGGGTCCTGCAAAGGGTCATATGACTTGTGGCCTCGAGTTTTCTTAATCAACTTTCTCTACGTCTAACCATGTGGTGCAGTCTTTTATCCTGGGACATATGAGTCAAGTGTCCTCTGAACTCAGATCCGTGCCTACAACAGGTTCTCTCAAGCAGTTTTCAAACTCCAAGGCATAGGAAATGCAGCACTCTTTTATTTCAACTTTCAAGAAACACTGCCTAAAGGGGGGAAAGACTGAGGAAACAATCCTAGAGAAGAGGGCATCAGAACCCAGTGAACATCAGGAAATAATGACAAGCAGGGAGCAGCTGTTCTGCGGCATGGGAAGGAGCTGTGCCAGACACTGCACAGTGCTAGATTGAAGCCTTATATAAGTCAAACGTTTCTTGGCAGAATACTAATCTTTCCCAGGAGATAACAGTTTCAGGACAGCCCTGGAGGAGCCCTAAATTCTATTATCATGTCCAGAAACAGTGTCTCAAAGGGGCTTTACTCCTCTGTGGCCTCATCCGGGAGTCTGGGGAGTCAGAGCCAAGTGGCAGCTTTGGGGAGATGAAATCCAAGGTTTAGTTGAGGGGAAAACACTTCTGCAGAGTGCTCGCCAGTGTGTTAAAAGTGACCCTTGGGACTTTTGCCTCCTGCTTGGCTCATCTTCTATTAGAAGAAGACACGATTGTGTAGATGGTCTTGTTTGCTTTTTTTTTTTCTTCATAAAATACACAACATAAAAGTTCCTGCCAGCCATTTTCAGAGTATGGAGTTTGCTTTCACAGCATACTTCTGATGTCTGGAACATTTGTCCTCCTGCTGAACTGCACCTCTATATCATTAAACAGCTCCCGTTTCCGTCTTCTGTGGCAACTACTGTTCTACTTTCTGTTTACATAAATTTGATTATTGTGGAAAAATCATATAAGCTCTTCACTTTTTTTTAGACTGATCTATTTCACGTAATACAGAGGCCTCAACATCTTGCATGTTAAAGCATGTGTTGGGTTTCCTTTTCCATTTGAAAGCTACATTGCATTCTGTTGTGTGCGTGTTTTAGGAGTTCACCCATTGGTGGGCACTGGGTTTCTCCCATGCTTTAGATACTGTAAAAGCTAGACCTCGCTTTCAGTTCTGCCAGAAAGTACGAGCAGAAGTAACGTTGCTGAATCGTACGGTGTTGAAGTTTGTGAGGAACGGTCGTTGGCGTCCATAGCAACTGCTCCATGTATGTTCCTAGTGTTGGACTAGATGTCCAAACATCAGGTAAGAGTTGCTCCAGACACCATTCACATAACCACAAATTGATGCAAAAGCAAGAGGATTTTTATTCTGTCATGACAGGGCCCTTCAGGTTCAGGAGATGAAGGACATCGATAGCTGTTACAGCCCATCTTTTAAAGCGAAAAGCCACAGACACAAGGGGGGGGGGGGCTGTAGGTTGTTTTCCAACTTATTGGATTGGCTTATTCAAAGGGTTACTAGTAGTGATTGGTCTATTCTAGGGCAGGAGAATAGTTGCGTGGTCAGGTGATAAGGGAGAGCATCTGTGGTCCATCCTGACCTTTAGTTCAGGGACTAAATCAATACATCAGGAACTGAGTCAACATCTGTGGGCTGTATTTGCCTCAATTCCCAAAATGGAGTTATGTTTGAAGATTATTCTCAAGGACGCAGGGGGATGAGCATGTGGTTATTTACAAGGACACAGGAGGATAAGCAGTCCAGTATGTGTGGGCGACTGTCCCTTTTCCAAGATAGAGTGAGAGTAAGGTTTTAGAAAAATGTCTTAGGGTTGAGGGGGCTTACAAATGCATTTAGAGTCTTTCACTAGCAAGAGTACCAAAGGGTTTTTCTCTGTCTTCTCCATGCCTGTGGTCCCTTCCCTGGCCCACTTCTTTCTCTTCTGTTCTCCGGCAGCAGCAATCCTAGTAGGTATGGGCGATACAACTCAGTGTAACCAGGGACACAACACTTGTATAACGTACATTTTAAAGTCAAAACAATTATAAAGGTTATGTGTATGTGTCCGTGTTCATGTGTGCAGATGCACATACAGGTGTGCCTGGGTATTTGGAGGTCAGAGGACAACCTTGGCACTCATTCCTCAGATGCCATCTACTAGTTGTTTTGTGACAGGGTCTCTCACAGACTTGGAATTCAGCCATGTATGCAAGGTTGGGGGGGGGCAGTGAGCCCCAGGGATGCTCTGGTCTCTGCTTCTCTAGCATTGGGATTGCAAGAACATGTTTCCATTCCTAAATTTTTTTGTTTGGTTGGTTGGTTGTTTGGTTTTGGTTTTTTTGAGACAGGATTTCTCTGTGGTTTTGGAGCCTGTCCTGGAAGTAGCTCTTGTAGACCAGGCTGGTCTCAAACTCACAGAGATCCTCCTGCCTCTGCCTCCCGAGTGCTGGGATTAAAGTCGTGTGCCACCACCGCCCGGCTTCCTAACTTTTTTTTATGTAGCTTTGGAGGATCAGACTCAGGTCCTCATGCCTGAAAGGGCAGCATTTTACTGACTAGGGTATCCCCCTGCCAATATTCAAGTTTTTGACGCCACGTAGAATGCATATAATGCACAGACATGGTAATTAGCTATCTGCAGGAGAACATTCAATAAGAAATGTACAAATATGTTGTGGAATATTAGTTAAAGATGTGTTACATTTTTTTTATGCTGTGGAATATCTGTTTAATGATGCAGCGATGTGGGGTTTTTTTATGTTGCATTTGTTTAACTCTGTAAAGCTGTGTTACTTTGGCCTGTCTAAAACATGTGATTGGTCTAATAAAGAGCTGAATGGCAATTATTAGGCAGGAGAGAGAGATAGGTGGGCCTGGCATGGAGAGAGACTAATAAATAGGAAAGAGGAGCAAGAAGGAGGAGGAAAAGAGGAGGAGAGGGTCCCAGTACCACCCAGCCACACAACCAGATACAAGAATAAGGAGGAAAGAAAAGATACAGAGAAATAGAGGAAGATAAAAGCCCAGAGGCAAAAGGTAGATGGGATAATTTAAGAAAAACTGGCTA